TCTACCTATGATCGATGACCAATTGATCAATCCGAACCCTTGAATCAAAATTCGGTAAGACTGATTTCTCTTGCTTGTTCGTTGCTACTTGCTTTCTTGTTCTTTTAGAATTTTTAATTATTTAATTTTCCCACTCTATTATATTGCGCATTCGGCTAAGAAATTAATCCCTAGCTCCTTGTGGGATTTGACCTAGTACCACTATTACTACAAAAATTTTGTTGTGGGACTACCATTAATTTTGAGGGCTTCAATAACCCGTCATCATTTACAGGTAGCAATATATGTAGCAACAGTGGGTAATCACTGATACATTTGTCCCCTTTTCAGGTGGATAAGACCCAGTGACAATGAGGAAAAAATGCATGGCTGCAATGTCCTTTGGGGTTGGTGTGAAGAACGACCTATGAGGAAAATATCTGGTTTCTAAGTTAGGATGGATGAGCCTAGTCCATGAACACAGGACACAGAAAGGATGAATCCATGTGGACAGAAAATCCCAAAACCCTTCGAATAAATTTCCCAATAAAAATATAAATATACAGAGGGATGTCCAACTACTCTTTATACTTGAATCCACTTTAATGAGAAATGGAAAAATAAATTTCGGGTTGTATAAGAAATTGTCTTAGCATTGACACACCCTTAATTATCAAGAAGGGACGTTGGATCAACCCCATCCTCCCCTAATGGCATAGTTATCACTTAATTCTTCTGATTTCATGATGATTGAATAGGATTTTTTTTTATAAAATATTTAATTGCAGGAATCAATCACAAAACACAGCGATGTTCATTGTTATCGGTTCGGTTGGGCTCTTTCTCTCTCTGACAAAGACGAAAGCATCAAAAGAGAACGAAGAAGAAGAAAGCAAAGTACTTTGCACTCAATTTAGGAAAAGATAAGGAAGTCGGCCTCAGCTCCTTTTGCTATCTTTCCTCTTCTTTTTCATGGTATCTCTACTACTGAAAACAATAGTAGGAGACCCAAGAACCCAAATAGTAAAAATCTTTTGCGGGCATCAAAAAGAGCATAATACCACCACCTTTGTCTCCAACTTCGTCTTCACCATGAGAGAACATCAGTGACCAAATGCACACTAGTGATTTCAGAACCTTAGTCGTCAGAATTGTGGAAGGTTGGTAGTTTACAAAAAGGAATAAGGTTCCGAGTTTTTTTTTGGCTTTTTGCATATACTAAATTGGCACTCGGCATAAAAGTATAGGGTACCTATCCGAAATTTTCCCATTACTAAAATATAGAATAGGGGATAGTTTAAGAAATTTATCCTTTTTATTTATATTTATGTTTAACCGTTGGATATTTACCCGTGGAAAGGCGATGGAACCAACACTGAACTCTTCCATGGTCTGTTCAGGCTTGTTGAATGTTGAGAGCAGATCATATATTTCAGACGAAGTCTAAACTAAAGCGTTAAACTGCCTTCTTCGATGTGAAAAGTAGAACCTGGGAGTGAAATTTCTTAGTTCTGGAACCCGATTTACCGGTAAGAAGTCGACGCTCACAACCTCCAACTGTAACTACAAATTTAATACTCATTCAGAGCCATTGCCCACGTGAACTCTACATCGAACAGTGGATGCTTGACGCGGCTACTTGTAGCCGTAGGTAGGAACATTCCGACGACATTAGGATTGTTCCGACCAAGGCCTGATGCTTAGAAGGAGCACAAGAAAATCGGTAACCAAGTGGTCGTTCTATTTATGGTCTCTTTTGCTTTCTGTTCTTAAATATAGCTAGTGTACCTTGATTGTGTCCCATCTTGAGTTTGTGTGGTTCTATTATTAATTTGGGCTTTCCCCTCTAATGATGATTGCTTACAGGCAAAGGGAGATTATTGAAAGAGTCTAGTAGAAATCACAACGGTTCCCTGCATCACAGCAAAGTATGTCTTTGAGAACAGCCATCAAACACTTACCCTCCCATTTTCTCCGTCGAGCCATTACTAGTATCTCCTCTCTCTCTCCTCTATCAGATCAACTCCAACAGCAAAACCAACCAAATCAGTTCCAACTACAACAACAGAAGCGGCTGCAGGAGCAGGACTCGTATGCGCTAATGAAAGAAGACCCAATTCAGGTATGCTCTGATATCTGGGTCCGGGCTTTCTCTGATCCCACCAAGAAGCCATTTTCCAACCTGACGGGCTTCCTAAAAAAATTCGACTTATGGGCATTGGCTTACCAACGCTCTTGTGCTGAGGAGACGGGCTCCTTCCCTCCTCGAAATGCTATCCACTCTGTCGTCCTTCACAATCTCCTCTCCCTTCGGAATGCTGTTTTAAAAGATGAGTTTGTCTGGGGTATGAAGACGCACCTTTTCATCCGCTCCCCCAATGATAAGCCTTTGACCAAATTGATCTCAAGACGTAAACTTCAAGCCATATTAGAGTCTGATAAGCCTTGCTTCCAAGATCGCATTGTTCAGGAGGTATTATTAATGATTTTGGAGCCTGTGTTTGAGTCTCGCTTCTCTTCCAAGTCCCATGCATTTCGCCCTGGTCGGAATGCACACACAGTCATTAGGACGATTCGGAGTAATTTTGCCGGGTATTTATGGTTTTTACGAGGTGACTTGAGCGGCATTTTTGAAAATGTTGATGTGAATGTATTGATGGGCTCTTTAGAGAATGCTGTCAAGGATAAGAAAATCTTGGGTTTGATCAAGTCAGCTCTAAGAACACCGGTTAGAGTTCAATCACGAGATGATCTGTTGACAAATAAGAAGAAGAAGAAGAAGAAGAAGGGGACGAAGAAGAAAATTCTGAACGAGAATGAACCGAAACCTGATCCGTATTGGTTAAGAACCTTCTTTAACTTTGCTCCAAAGGAAGCTGCAAAGGTCCCTTCTTATGGTCACTGTGGTATCTTAAGCCCTTTACTTGCCAATGTCTGCCTGAATGAATTAGATAGTTTGATGGAAGAAAAGATAGTTGAATTTTTCCTCCCATCTAAGCTTGATTCTATATGGAATGATGCAGATAATGATGGTAACCATAACCCCTCTTGGCCCGAATTTGTTCCATCAAGTGGAAGGGAGAAAACTCGTAAAATGGATTACATCCGATATGGGGCCTTTTTCCTGATTGGGATCCGAGGACCTAGAGAGGATGCTATAGAGATAAGGAAGAATTTGATTGAATTTTGTGAGAGAAAATATGGATTAAGGCTAGACAATTCTAAGGTGGAGATTGAACACATTAGTAGGGGAATTCAGTTCTTGGACCACATAATTTGTCGTAGGGTGATACATCCTACATTGCGTTATACTGCAACTGGGGGGAGAATTGTGAGCGAGAAGGGTGTTGGAACATTGCTTTCTGTTACTGCTAGCTTACAAAATTGTATTCGCCAATTTAGGCGGCTTGAGTTTGTTAAGGGTGACAGGGATCCTGAGCCATTGCCTTGCACTCCAATGCTCTATGCCAGCCAAGCTCATACAAATTCCCAGATGAACAAGTTCCTAGAGACTATGGCTGATTGGTTTAGATATGCAGATAACCGCAAGAAAGTAGTTGGATTTTGTGCTTATGTCATACGGAGCTCCTTGGCTAAGCTTTATGCTGCACGGTATAGACTTAAATCCCGTGCTAAGGTATATAAGATTGCTACTCGTAATCTCAGTCGGCCATTGAGAGAAAGTAGGAACAATGCAGCACCTGAGTATTCAGATCTATTGAGGATGGGACTAGTTGATGCTATTGAAGGCGTTCAGTTTTCTCGTATGTCATTAATTCCATCATGTGATTACACTCCTTTCCCTAGGAATTGGGTCCCGTATCATGAGCAGGTGTTGCATGAGTATATTAGGTTACAAGATCCAAGATTCTTCTGTGAATTGCATAAATCAGTGAAACGCCAAGGTTTGAGTTTTCCTCAAGATGAGCTATCAAAGATGGTTTGGGACTATAAAACTCATGGGGTTAAGCACCATCCATCTCATGTTGATGACAAAGAAACTGCAGATGTAAGCGAACATGATAATAGAGTTTCAGTTTCTTGATGAGAAGATTCTTCCTGCATTTGGTTCTGTGCTATACTTTAGCAGTTTTTGTATAAAATGAAACTATTGTATGTGGCATGCACTTCTGGATGATGTGTGAAGTGGGAAGAGCTCTCATTCTCAAAAGGACCCTGAGATTGTTACCAGCATCACTCACAAAATGTCAGACATATGGAATGATTCATCAGATGCATTAAAGGTAATTTTATTTCCTTTATATTCGATTGGATTTCTATTCTTCTGCTTGAATTTCTGTTATTCTTCTTACTTGAATACAGATGTTAGCTACTCCTTTCTTTTCATTGTTGCTCAGATTTTCTCTCCCTTTGTTTCATTGTGTGTTTTAACCATTTTTCATTTTTGAAAAAGGTAACGTTTAAATGTTTTTTCAATATGTCAAAAAGTTTCATGTTCAGTCATGTACAATGAAGCTCTGTGCACAAGTTCAGTTTGTATTGTAGAAAAGAAATAAGGCTCAAAATAAAAGGACTGATAAGGAACTTCCATGAATTTTTGTTGTACTGGTAGCTAATATGGGAGAGTTCTGACCTATGATGCCATATATTGATAAGGGCATTGACATGGATACGGGAAATGGGGATATGACCCTCCATTTTCTAAAGTTATGGACATGATAAGGGTATAGTTGTTTCATGTAATATGCTTATTTCATGCATTTATATCTAGATTTTGAATCTATGGTGCAAATGGTCTTGACAGTGCGTCGAAGAGCTATGTAAGCCAAAGAATGTTTGACAGTAGGGAGTTTGATTAGATGTCTGGGAGGGAAACAATTGTAGCGGAATTGGATAAGATGTATGAGGAGGGAGGTGGAAAATCGGTGGTAGTGGGTAAACAGGGGTGGATCTGGGCCGGAGAAGGAATGCAAGAACCTCGGAGTTTCCTGTTAATGACACACTTGAGACGGGGGAGCTCAGGAAATCCAAAGGGTCCGGAAACAGGCAGCTGGTCCATGTGACCAAAGTTTTTCACAGGCTTAAGGAGGGGCTTGTAGGGGATGACCCCTGTGGCAGATTCAAGAGAATCTATAGAAGAAAAGGAGTGGAAGTGAAGGTTAAACAATCCTCATCGAAAGACAAAGACAAGGTTTTTCCTACTGAGTTAGACCCGGCTAACATGATGCAAGTTTTTGTTCCGTCCTCTCAAAAAGATGAGGTTTCCTCAAGAGAGAAGTCGAAAAGAAATGATTTAGAGGGCACAAATGAGAAGATTGGGAAGGAGAACTTAATTGTAAAGGAGGATAATGAAAAGGTGGAAGAGGAGGGAGAGGGAAAGATTAATACTTAGGAGCCACTGTTATGTTCGGTGTATTCTATCTACCTCAAAAGAACTTTCATTGGGCTAACCAAAAAAAAAACTGACAAACCTTTGGGACCCTCTATCAGTGGGTCTTATCCACCTGAAAAGGGGACAAATGTATCAGTTATTGCCCACTGTTGTAGCATATGTTGCCACATGTAAATGACATACATTTGGGACCCACTATCAGTGGATCTTATCCACCTCCAAAGCAAATTAATAGTGGATCCACTGTTATAACAGGTGTGCTGGTTTGGTGGGTCCCGCCCACTATAAACAAAGATAAGATTTAATAATTAGAAATTAATCCATTGTAATATTTGGTGAATTTTATCCACCTCAAAGGAAAATCAACAATGAATCATCCACTGTTACAAAAAAGTATGAACTGTTTTTGGGCTTGGTGGGTCCCATCCACCATAAACAAAAGCAAAATTTAATAGTAAGGATTTAATACTCTAGTGGACCTGCCCGAATAATACCATTTAACTCCTCAATCCCAACAGCTTGTTGCATGATGCTTTGGGTGTTTTTGATGGTAGATTCAACTTTAGATTGCCATAAAGGAGACTGAAGGGCCATACCTTTTAACAAACTGATTGCATCCTCAATCGTTTGTCTACCCAAAACCAATGTCGTAGGTGATGCATTGTCAATTTCCCTCCTTATTGTAGTTATGGTAGTCTCAATTAAATTTGAAATAAGTGAATCTATGCTGCTATGAATATTAGATGCTGCATCAATAGAGGGATGTTCTTCTTTTGCATTACTCGGTTGTTCCAAATCTTCTGCTACGATCCCACCTATTATCTTCGATCGAGAAGAAGAATCAACATGGTGCACTATACAAATGTCAGTTGAAGAATCATGTCCGACTATATTGCTACTTGGCATGAGAATGGGATCAAGGTCACTAGGTGGGAGCGTGACATCATCATATGCTCTGTAATCTAATGGTTCTTCATAAAAAATTATTATCTGAGAGTCAACAACCCTTGTGACATCACTTGTCTCTTATAACTTACTAGGTCTTGGATATCTTGTCTTCTTGAAATTTATGTCACGATCTTCTTCATTTGAGAGACATAAGGGACGACAAATACCACATCCCTTTGAACTTGAGGAGTCAACAATAGGTGAAGACTGCTTGGGATTTTCAATTTCTTGCAAATCACACTACCATTCTCCAATTTTAATGGCACCCCTTATGTTTGCAGAGATTTGCCTCAAATTTATGATGCATACATATGCCTTAGGAGTTGGTGTGTCCTTAGGACCAACTACAACAGAAATAACATCACGTAGTGGTCTAATAAAAAAGGGACTTGTATATCGGAACCACCATCTCACATATGAGTATGTACATACACCATATCTACTCATTCTCGGCATGATGAAACAAGTGGGTATTGATATGAAATAACATCTGTTAAGCCAGTGCCACTTCTTCTAAGGTGTGCTTCTCATGTAGCTCAAAGTTGAACTCGAGGGTATTTCTTAGGATGCCTTGATGAAAGCCAACTTGCTGAGCAAAGCGGCTTGGGTAATAAGGTTCTAAACAAAGATCTAAACCTATCCACACAGGAAGAAGCCACGATCAGATATAGATTAGGAATTCAAATTTTGATTTTGAGAGGTCATTTGTGTCAAGTTTTTCCACACCTTCATTTCGAACATATAAAAAAGGCCGAAAAGTAAAATAGTTGCTGTTACGAAAAGTCATTCGTGCCTCGAAAGTATTCTGGAATTCAGGTTGTAAACCTGCATATCTAGCCAAATGAGGATAACTCTCTGGAAATTCATTATCTGATCAACATCGGTACAAATGGTGGAAGTTTTCAATAAGCCATCCCACTACATAATGAATAGGAAATTTGGCATTTATATGCTCAAGTCCTTGAGGATGTGTAGCACAAACACCAATACCGTAATCTCTTTTCAATAATAATTTTTTTTCTTTATTTATCTTCAAAACAGAAAAACACCCATACCATGATAAATAAAACCCAAAACTACTTGGGCTAAAGAAATGCAAGTACCTTGGGCCATTAATAGGCCATATAAAATGTCTCTGGCCTTACCACATCTATTATATGGAAGAACAAAGTGACTCATCCAAAATGCTAAATAAGCTGCCAGTTGACCCATCTTTGGAACAATTAAAGATGACTTCTCTTTAGAAGAAGAAGAATCAATCACCTTCTTGGAGCTAGAGTTAGTCCTCTTGCTATTTCTACCTTTCTAAAGGTGGGTCTTCTCCATGTCCTTCATAAATGATTTATCCCCTATAGAGCTCGAACCAATGGATCCAATCAACTTCATCATTATTGAAATGATGGCATAACTGTGCATCGATTTATAATAATTCAACAACAGGAGAATACATGCACTCACCACTCTCCATAAGAGAAAATAAATCTTGATTGGTGGGTATAAATTCTTCATTCGGAATACCTAGAATAGGTAATCCACCTATTTGGTTGATATCGAGCAAAGAAATCCCAAGTTCACCACTACCATAATGAAGAGAGTTGGTCTGAACAATCCACATCTCACAAAAGGCTCACCAAACATTTGGGTTACGATGATATGGATATCTAGAAACTACAACAACCACATAAATTCTATCTTGTTGAAACTCCTTTTTATAGTTTCTCAAAATCACTTTAGTCCACTCTAGCAAACCTGAGCAAAAGTCAATTAAACCTCTAAACCTAAATTTATCTCCTTATCTCCGTTTCTGTGCTAGCATGTGCACCAATGTTGGATACAAGTTCTCATTCATCTTTACATTGACAAGGGCATTTGGTGAATTGTTAGCATTCTCAAGTGTAAGAGCTTTAAATCTTGCTCCATCTATTGAACAACACTCTACTTGTACCATGAATTTATTATGATCAATCTTGAAGTCACCAGATTGTGCTTTCACTATTTGTATCCAATTGATGAAACATTCATTTGGGGCATTTAAACTCAACTTTGAAATTGGGATGGACCTATAATACTCTCCCAAAACTAACTTGTTGACCATTCTCATTGGGAGCACATTCTTATTTGACCTGTCCAGAAACAATCCAAACTTATGAACTTGCATGTGCCATCTACATAAAATAGAGAGAGACTCAATTAAAACAAAATGAAATCACAAAGGGAGCACTAATCTCCATACATAAAAAAGTTATGTAGCTTTAATACCCACCATAGGGTAAAAACAAAATCTTCTAAAAACTGGTGGGTTCAATGTTTAAAACATTAAACATCATATTACTGATAAGGTCATAAATGTTCTAAATGATAACTCCTTTATTTTCTCAAAATTTAAGTTCTGTTTAATGAGCTATCTGTAGAGGAGATGGGCCGAATGGCCCTTAGACTATCATTTCATGTTATGTTATGTTTCTCTTTGTTATGGGCCTTATTCTGGGCCCATACTCTGTAATGTTTTGTTTTTTGTATTTTTCTGCCCACTTAAGGGCCTCTCTGTAATTTATCAAAGATTAACACCTTAATAAAATGTTTAGAGTGTTAGAGTGAGGTTAAGTTCGAAACTCTCACTCTCTAACACTCATTG